ATTATCTGATTTCTCCTCCCAATAAACCCATGAACCATTTGGTCAGCACAGACAGGCTCCAGGATAGAAGCTCCTCAAAAATCACCTTTAAGCTTTTGATCTCCCATGGAAATTTGTTTGAAAGCTGCTTTTCCATCTAACATTTGTTTTTGTGTCATTTGTGGTAAATTTCCCAATGAAGGTTCCCTCTCAATTCTTTGTTTGGCCAAGATTGTTTTCCTTTGATGCTGTAATTCATTGAACAACTCACTTCAAGGTCAAAGGAGTGAAATTTGTCAAAAGCAGACCAATATTAATGTGTGCTGTTATATCCCACTTCCTTATCAACAGATTACCAAGAGACTGGGCTTTGATTTGTGCAGCAAAGATGCAACAAAGAAATGCCTATAGAGGGGTGCCTGGGTGGCTCAGTCAATTGAGCATCTGCCTTCAGTGCAGGTCATGATCCCCTGGGATTGAGCTCCGGGTCAGGCTCTCTGCTCAGTGGGGAGCTGGCTTCTTCCTCTCCCGCTGCCTGCCACTCTCCCTGCTTGTGCCCGCACTCTCTCTCTCTCTCTCTCTCTCTCTCTCTGTGTGTGTGTGCGTGTGTGTGTGTGTCCAATAAATAAATTAAATCTTTAAAAAATATATCTGTAGAAGGGGTGCCTGGGTGGCTCAGCGGGTTAAAGCCTCTGCCTTCAGCTCAGGTCATGATCCCAAGGTCCTGGGATCGAGCCCGGCATTGGGCTCTCTGCTCAGCAGGGAGTCTGCTTCCCCCTCTCTCTCTCTGCCTGCCTCTCTGCCTACTTGTGATCTCTATCAAATAAATAGATAAAATCTTTTTTTTTAATGTCTGTAGAAGTACCTAGTGTTAAGATGAGAAGAAGATGAGAATGATAAGAAGATGAGAAGATAATGATAAGATGAGAAGTTAAGAAGAAGATGAGAGGTGGGTCAATCCATCATGACTGGAGCACTGGGTGTCATGGATGTGCAGAGTGATAAAGCTCTAAGGAATTGGCCATGGGAGGCCTCAAACTGCACCCTAAAGTTGACAAGTAACACCTGAAAGTTTTTGAGCAAAGGAATGATTGATCAGGGTGAGGTTTAGAAAGAGACCGCTCCTGTAGAGGTATGTGGGGTGAATTGGAAAGAGGAAATGCTGGTAATAAAAATCCCAACCATAAGAGTGGTTATGAGAATTGACAAAAAGAAAAAAATTGAGTTATTAAATATAGGTAGAGGGGAGCCTGAGTGGCTCAGGGGGTTAAGACTCTGCCTTTGGCTCAGGTCATGATCTCAGGGTCCTGGGATCGAGACTCGAATTGGGCTCTCTGCTCAGCAGGGAGCCTGTTTCCCCCACCTGCCTCTGCCTGCCTCTCTGCTTACTTGTGATCTCTGTCTGTCAAATAAGTAAAATCTTTTTAAAAATAATAGTAAATAAATAAATATAGGTAGAATTGACAAGACTTTTGACTTGGTGGAGGTGAAGGATAAGAAGCCAAAAAAGAATCTAGGGTGTCTAGCTTTGGTAAAGATGGTGCTGATGACACTTTCATAAACTGAGTCAAAGAGGCTGTGAGGAAAACTCTGGGAAGGAACTGAGAAGTGTGGTCTGGGGCATGAGGAGCTGGAAGGGCTTCAGGGACAGTGGTGTGAAGAAGTCCTGGCAGATGTTCAAGAGAGTGGTGAAAGGTAAATATGCTGACTAGACAGTTTGACAGAGGGGCTTAGTGAGACCAATAGAACGGATGAAAATCCACCCAGGGTTGGAAAAGCACATTCTGCCACTGAGGCATGTGTCAAAACCACCAGAATGTCCACAAGAATCTCTGCTTCAGACTGAGAAGAAGACAGGGATATTGGAAGACCTTGTTGTTTAGAGAGTTGACAGAGAAAGGGGAGCCAATGAAGAAAACCTAATCTCAGAGAAACAGGAGACCCAGGGGATGTGATAAGGAAAGTTTCCCAAAGGGAGCAGTCAATAATATCAAATGGGACAGATGGGAAAGTTGACCTTCAGGTCTAGCGTGAGGATGTCACTAGAGATCTTGACTGCCAGAGGTCAAGGTAAGAGAGGAAAAATTGAGATGAATACCAGAATGAGGTTTCCCTGTTATTTTCTTCTTCCTTACCATGGGTTTCAGGTGCTCAGGCCCCACCACCTTGTCTTACACTTGTAACTTCCTCCCAAGTCAGGAACACAGAAGCATTTTAGCTGGGTCCAGACAAGCCTCTTGCCCTCCTGTCCCAATATCCACAGTGTTCCAGCCCTAGTGAAGTAAACCTCACTCTGTCCCACCTTGAAGAGTCTTGTACTGGATAGTGCTGCCATTGGCTCCTGCTCTGCCTCTGCTTCTGTCAACCCATCATCACTAGACAAATTGGAACATTGGTACCTGCCTCTGCCGCCCACCACCATGACTTAACTTGTCCCCATAGGAACTCAGCAGAAGAGGAACTCAGAAATGCTGAGATGAGAATGATGCATTCCCATAATCTGGTTTCTCAGTGAGTGCTGGAGGCCATCACAAATACCAAGAGAGCCCAAGGAAAGAAGAGCCATCAGAGACACTGATTCAAGCTTTCCTTACCAAAGCATGAATGCCAGCCTTGCATAGTTCACTCCCTGACAAGAAATCTGGGTCAGATAGGGTCAGGATTAGCACTGTTGTTATTTCTGAGTAAAGAAACCAGATCAAATAAGTGTCTTGTTTAAAAAAAAAAAAAAGTATCTTCTCTCCTGATCTCCCTACATCCCTACATCAACCCACACTTCTCCCTCCAGTTCTCCCTCCAGAGGAGTTACTGTAGAGTATCCCACCATAGCCTGGAGGGGTGGAGGGTCACTGACCAGCAAAGGAGCTCAAGAGCCATCAGAGGTGGTGCCATATGCAGCATGGGTCCACCTGAAATTAAGATGGACATTTATGAGAAGTTGCTCTCAGGTACTTGCTGTTGCCAGACACTGCTCAAAGTGCCTCTAAGGGTCATCTTGTTTAATCCTCTCAACTCTGTGAGAAACCTCACTTTAAGAGATGGAGAAGTGGGTTCAAAGGAGCGGTTTTCTCAGGGACTCACAGCTCATGAGGGAAGAGCTGGGGTTTGAGTTCAGACCTGCCAGGGTTAACCTTCATACCACACTCCCCTTCTCTGAAGCTTCTTTCCCACCTTCTTATGCAACCAGACGTGGATGACACTCATGATGGTCATCATAAGACACATGGTCACCACACACTGCAGAGACCCAAATTTGTCAAGAAAATGGGTAATAGAGGCAATGCCAATAGTTCTTCTTTCCATGCATACCTCCTGAAGACCACCTGCCCAAAAATTACTCTAGGGAGAAGGAAGAGAGAATCGGACCCCTCAAGTACTTTTCTATGGTGTGCCAGTAAGTGCCAACATCACCAACAGTCCTGCAGATTCTCCATGGCGACAGGACAGGTGCGCTGACTGATCATCCGTAATGGAGACCTGGTCTCTCTTCTCTTTGTCTCCAGTTCCTTTGGTCTTAATGATGGAGGGAGAGGACTCCCGAGTGGCTCTCCAATACCAGTGTTCCCCACACAGCTCCCAGCCCAGCCATGCTGGCATTCTGTTGACCCTTCTTCAGGCCATTCTCCTAGCCACAGCCTCTCACTAAGAACTGACCCGAAAAACAAATACCCACATATCTTCTCAATCCTCACTGTGGTCCAGAAATGCCACACTCTGACACCAACACACACACACACAAATTAAACAGGAGGGATGGTACCTTATGAATGGAAAGAGAACCAACATTTGTTGAGAGCCTGCTATATGAGAGACCTCAGGGTAGCTCTCCATGGGAGATACTGTAACCCCGTTGTACTGATGGAGAAACTGAGACTCAGGGAAGTTGTATGACACATCCAAGTTCACAGTGACCCACAGTGAAAGAGGAGGCATTTGAGACAACTTCTGCCTGACTTCTTGTTTTGAACACCAGAATTTATCACTGGGCCAAGGGATAGGAAGCACCTGCGGCTGCTGGATGCTTTAAAATCAATGTGCTTAGTAAATGTTCATTAATAATTATAAAAATGACTCATATTTATTGAAAGTTTGTATCTATTATCTCACTTCTTTCTGACACTAGCCCTATGAAGAAGGAATGATTATTATCCCCATTTCACAGATGAGGGAACTGAGTCTTAGTGAAATTAAGTGCTTTATCTACAATCAAAAAGCCAAGATGTAGCAGAATCAGGGTTCAAATTCGCTGTCCTTTCTCCCCAAACCTTGTGCTATCAGCCAGCTTATTTTCAACCTCTATTGGTCAAAAAAGGCCCGTGAAGATAAAAGAAGAGCCATTCCCCTCCCAACCTTTCTCTGAGTAACCACTCTGAATTAAGGGTGCTGTCAACAACACCTCAGTTCATCGCCTTCTTTTTAGAAACCCCAAAAACAAAGATGGGACTCCAAGGATCACAATGGTTCTGCATTTCCCAGACACATGTGCAAGCTTCTACGCACAGACCCCAGTTTCGTAGTTGGTGAACCCCATAGAAGAACACATACCAATACATACGGTCAAATACAAAGGACTGCTACACATGCTCACTTACTAGTCCACACTAGTCAGCAAGAGAAGAATAAAAAATACAAGCGTTTAATCCAGAAACCACAAAGATCTACACAAGTGGTAACAACACTGCACAATTGCTTCTATATCTGGCCTACAGTTTTGATTCCCAGAGTCCATAGTAGTTTCAGTGTGAGCTCATGTTGTGGGAGCAGAGGAAGGGGACAGGGTGGATGCCTCGGGGAAATTGAGGGATGTAAACAATGGTGAGATGCGGCCACAAAAGCTACTTGGGGCTTTCTCTGCTCATTGGTTAGGAGGTTGCAGACTTAATTGTTTGTTGTCACCCGAAATCACCAAGCAGGGTCTTTCTAATAGATCCACGGAACTGTATAGAGACTCCTAAAACAAACTCACATATACATGGCCAATAGATTTTCTATCAAGACACCAAAAGGAGGCAGTAGTCCTGCAGATATGTCTCTTGTTTCAACCGTGTTTGGACAAAACAGACCCAGGGATGCCCCTTCAACCAGCCAAAGACCACCCTCCAACCTTTTTTCCAGTCGCAACCTTGGGAGCCATCTTCTTGGCCACCTGCTGACTACAGGACCAAACAACAGCAAATTTAATGCTTACCTCAAATCAACCATGAGCTCGCAGATTCATCAGAATTATTCCACCAAGGCAGAGGCCGCCATCAACCACCCAGTCAACGTGCATCTGTGGGCCTCCTACAGCTACCTCTCTCTGGGCTTCTATTTCCACCGTGACAACGTGGCTCTGGAGGGTGTGGGCCATTTCTTCCACAAGTTGACTGAGGAGAAGTGCGAGGGTGCCCAGCATCTCTTGAAGATGCAAAACCAGAGTGGTGGCCACACCCTCTTCCAGGATGTCCAGAAACCATTCCAAGATGAGTGGGGGAAAACCCTGGATGCCACGGAAGCTGTACTGGTTCTGGAGAAGAGCCTGAATGAGGCCCTTCTGGATCTGCTTACCCTGGGTCCTGCCCGCACAGACCCCCATCTCTGTGACTTCCTGGAGAACCACTTCCTAGATGAGGAGGTGAAACTCATCAAGAAGGTGGGCGACCACCTGATGAACCTCCACCAGCCCCCAGACTGGGCTGGGCCAGTATTTCTACTAGAGGCTCACTCTCAAGCATGACTAGGAGCCTCCAGAGACCAGCAGCAGCCTTTGAAGGGGCCTCTATGTCATCCCCCTGGTGCGAGAGCTTGTGCCTTAGCCTCCCCCCCGGCAACCATAAGGCAGCTTTTTAACCACCCTGGAACCCACTCCCAAGCCCTGGGCCAAATGGAAACAATAAGGCTTTTTGCAGAAAACAAACCAAAAACAAACAAAACAAACAAACAAAAAAAGTAATTCCATGCAAAAGGAAAAAGTGCCAGAACAACAGAATATTCACATGGAAAAAAAAATAACTCTGACCTCTACTCACTCCATACACTTGAATTAATTAGAACTAATGCATTAATTAATTTTAAAATGATCACAGACTTAAACATAAAAGTCAGACCTGCAAGGCTTTTAGGGGAAAAAAAAAAGGCATTAGAGAATATCTTTGCAACCTTGAAGTAGGTAATTACCCTTTTAGGACACAAAAAGCACCACCATAAATTACAGATTGGATTTCATCCAAACTAAAATTTTCTGTTCATTAAGTGACATCACTTAGAAGAGGAAGAGGCAAGGGAAGCATATAAGCAAGACCTGTGTCTCGCCACAGACGGTAGACATTGAACATCAAGAATATATAAAAACCTTTTATAAATCACTGATAACGAAGGCAAACAACTCAGTTTTTTAAAATAGGCCAAAGACTGGAACAGATGCTTCACTGAGGAAGATGAATGAATAGCAAATGAGCATATGAAAAAGTGTGCAGCCTCATTAGTCATCAGAGAAATTGGATTTAAAGCCACCATGGGAGACGAACCTAGGTGTCTCAGTTGATTAAGCATTCGACTCTTGATCTCATCTCAGGTCTTGATCTCAGGGCTGTGGAGCCTACTCTAAAAAAGTAAAATAAGGGGCACCTGGTGGCTCAGTAGGTTAAGCATCTGCCTACAGCTCAGGTCATGATCTCAGGGTCCTGGGATCGAGCCCCACATTGGGCTCCCTGTACAGCAGGGAGCCTGCTTCTCCCTCTCCCTCTGCCTGCTGCTCTCCCTTCTTGGGCTCTGTCAAATAAATTTTTAAAACTTTATGTATACACACACACACATATATGTATACATATATATAATCTATATATAAAATTTATATATATAAAATCTTAATATGTATATGACATATATATAAGATATATATACATCTTACCACAATTTTTTAGAAAAGGACAGGAAATGGGCACATACATGTTTAAGAGATTACCTCTGTTTGAAAAATCGCAATCTTCAGAAAAATGATTTGGTCATACACACATGCAACCTACTCCTCCTGTCTTTCTTCTCAGCTATTTGCTCTTTAGTGTCATCACTAACTTCAATAATTTTATATATTTGTTTCACAGACAAGGTAGGAACATAAATAAGCTATTAACAGATAAGATATTAATATTAATTTCAACTAAAATTTTAAATGTACCTCCCCCACACACAAAATCCCACAACGAGATGCCATTGCACAGCCACTTGAATGACAATGGAAACTCGGGCTCCCTGTGTCCTCACCAATAAAGTGGGGGGATCCTTATCTCAAGGCTGTGAAGTCCTGTCCCATGAACTCCTACATCATAAAATTAATGGCCACAGAAAGCAATCCTCAATTTCCTCCAAGCGATGACGCCTACAACTCATTGTCTCATGCCATGATCTATGAAGTTCAGTTGCCCCCTGATATGTTGCCAGGAAGTAGCTAAGTGAGAGCAAATGTAATTATCAGGAAAGATAAACAACCAAGAACTGTAATGGCAGAGCATTTGCAGGAGGCCCGACGGGGGGCTTGCACACTATCTTACTCAGTCTTCACATCTGCCCTATGGAGTTACTTTCTGACAGTGCACAGAACCGAATCAATCACAAAGTTCAGCATGTGACTCTGACTTTGGCTTTTTTTTAAATTCTTACTTTGTTTACTTTCTTCTCCTCTAACCTCATTTCCCCTCCCTTTCACTCATACAAACGCCCTATCTTGAATATTTATTTTACATAAATTTGGAATTGGTCAGCATCACATCCCATGGATTTTTCAGCCACCCACCAAAATTCTAAGTTTTTTCCAGGAAGCTGAAGCTCATTCATCCATCATTCCAGATCCCATATTTTATTGGTTCTTCCTCTAGTAACATGCCATTTCTCACTAGTTGCCATCATAGTCCGTGCTGGGGTTATCCTTGTTCTCATCTCAGCCTGTGTCTGTGGCCAAGAGCCACCAAGAACTTCCCCAAGAATAGTCTCAGCCCCAATTACAGAAGAAGTAGAGGGTAAGTGTCTACATGAGTCATAATGAGTGACAGGGTTGGGATTCAAATGCAGACCACCAGATTGCTGAACGCTCGCCCATCTCATCCCCAGGCAGTGTCTCCAAGCCATGAGGTTGGACTTCGCTGGACAATCATATCTAATAACCAGAAAAGAATCCAGAAAAAATAGTTGGGAGTAATGACATGTTAATGTCTCACCAGCAAACAGTGACAAGCCTATTACTGAGACAAACACAGCACACCATTAAAAAACAGAGCAGGCTGAATGAGCTTAACATAAGCGACTTTTGACCGTACCCATTCCTGGTTACTAATTCAGTTTTCATCAAGCAGTGTTCAGACTGATCATCTGGTCTCCTGAATAGACCTTCCACCTGGTAAGCAAATGTAACCAGTTATCATGCCATGAATATTTCCTGTTCCAAATAAATAAATTAGAAACTGGCTTATAAATTAGTCCCTCAGGGGATATGGATGAGGTGAAATATTCTCATCATTGTCATTGATCAACTCTTCTCATTGAGAGTAAATCTTATCTCCTTTTCTCTACCACAGGACTGAAGACTTAGATGAGCAGATTTTTGCTGAAATGAAAAACAAAATTGATTTCTCTTCCATCGAAGTCAAGCTCTGCCCATAAGCATGGTGATGTTCACTGAACTGAGACTACCTCATAAAGCCCAGCCTAAAAGCAAGTTGGCTCTTGCCCATCCTTGTCTACCACTTGCTACCTCCACCTGAACACCTTTCTCTGGGCATGCCCCCCTAGATGCTGTCCTCACCACCCACTCACCCCCACCATTCCCTTCACTTTCTTCACTTGCCCCTGACCTCAGGCAGTTGGGAGGAGCACTAGATTGGGAGTCAAAACCCCTGTGTTTTAGTCTCAGCTCTGCCATTCACATGCCAAATGAGATTGGGCAGTTCAAACACACTCTGAGCCTCAGTTTTCTCATCTATAATGGCTTTGAGAGTTAAATGAGTTGATGAATAGAAAGTTCGTTGCAAACTAAAAAACGTCATATTATCTGAAATTTTAAAATAAAAAAATTTTTAAATGCTATATACAGGTGAGGATGGTTGGAATTAACAGTCCCCTGGATAATACAGTTGATATTATGAGTTCCTCTACTAGCACATATGAAGGGTTGCAGAAATAAACAGAAAGTCTTTGCCATTTCAATTGTTCCCCTGATACTCAACATGTTTATTCATTTCTCCATCGACACTTCTGCCCCAGCCACTTGGAAGAGAGAGTAGGAATGTGGCCACAAACAGATTCGTGGTTCTGACCACAAAACTCACTTCTTCCCTCTATACAGCCCAGCCATGTCAGACTCTATCTGGATCAAGTCCACAAAGACCAGGACTGTATTCTCTTACTTCTGCTTTCATGCCTATTTCTCATCATTGTGGCTTCCATTCACAAGCCCAATCATTTTTTATTCTGCTGCCTTTTTTTTTTTAAGGAAGAAACTGAGAAACAAGTGTTAGGCAAGCCAGTGCTAGAAAACAATCATATGGCAATCTCCTGTTCTCAGAGCCCAAAAAACCCCCAACAGCACTGTGGCCATGGAAAGGAAATCAGTGTGCCCCAGGCCCCACATGCTGGTTGTAAGGTCTCCTTGAAGTGTTAAAAGAGCACCTTGAACACAAATGTTTATAGTGGTTTTGTTCATAATTGCCAAAAATTGGAAGTAATCAAGATGTCTTTCAGTAGGTGTATGGACAAACAATCTGTGGTCCATCATGCAAAGGAATATCATTCAGTGATAAAAAGAAATGCTAAAGACCATCATAATGACATCTGACCCCACTCCATTTTATCTCAACCCCTCCCATTTTTTAAAGACTTTATTTATCCATTTAAGAGAGAGAGAGAGAGCACAGGCAGGGATGGAGCAGAGAGAGAGGAAGAGGGAGACGCAGTCTCCCCTCTGAGTGGGAAGCCTGACATGGGACTCCATCCCAGGACCCTGAGATCATGACCTAAGCCAAAGTCAATGCTCAACCAACTGAGCCACCCAGGCACCCTTTTAGCCCCCCTTTTAACAACTAAAAATTAACATCTATCCAAAAACAGTAGTGCCTCTGTGGAAGTTGTGAAATCCAGTACCATATACCAAGAGACCCAGAAGGAATCTCACCCACCCGTGCATGGGTAAAAGGCAGACAGACCTCGGTAAAGTCTGCAGAACCAGCAGAATGAACTGGGCCCCACCCTCTCCAGCTGCAATTGGGGAACATCTGGAGAGTGCTAGTGGGCAGATACCCACAGATGAGAGAGCCTTTGTAGAAGTCCTGTCTTCCCAAGGACAGATGCCAACTCCACTGAATTAAAAAAAAAAAAAATATGCAAGTTTGGACCCACTGAAGAGGATGAGGAACTTTGTCAGCATAACCCCTCCCTCAAGACAGCACAGCAATCCAGCTGAACTAGCCTACAATGACCTCTCTTGAGGGGATAAGGGAAACGGTGAGTGAGTGCCTGACTTCCCCAGCTGTGTGGGACACTTACTGGAAAAAAAACATTTCTTTACAGCAGCAACCAAACTTTTGAAGCAGGTTCTCTGTGACAGGGGTGAGGAAAGAAACCAGGAAAGAAGCAGATAAGAGTATCAAAGAGCATGAAAGGGATGTGGTTCTTGCTTGACTGTCTTCAGGTCTCCAACAGGAAACTGCCCATGAGCTGATGAGAGAACCTCATGAAGGAACCTCCAGC